CGCTCTTCCAGTGCAAGTGGAGAAGTCATAGAGTATAACTCCTTGTAAGACAGAGTTTTATACATTTATGGTGGTGCAATACACCACTGTGGGTTGATTTGATGCTTCAGAAAAGCATCTTGTTTCTAGGAGAGAAATAACTACCTCAGTGGTGGGAGATACTCATCGAGCTGCTGGAGCTGGAGCAGAGCCCATGACCCATCAGCTCCTCGCTTTCTGGAGTGTTTTCTAGCCTGGCCCCGCAGCTGCAGGGAACTGAGGTGGCTCCTGCATCCCTTCCACTGCCCACGGGCACGTGTCCCCCAGTGTGAGATCCACGGGGTGACAACATCCCAAAGAAACACCCTTGCCTGGCGAGGAGCAGGGGCATTTTCCATCCCAAAGCGTTGCAGTGAGCTGGAGCGACTGGCCAGCGTCTCCAAGATTCCCCAGGGGCAGAAGGGTGACACGATTTCCTCTGAGGTGGGCTCACGCTGCGCACGACCTCCCTCTTTTTTACCTGAAATGACTTTCTGTTGGATCACATTTGGTACATCCAGTTCTGGTAACCGAACACCTCGCTCCACATCTGTTGTTTCAGCCACTCCTGGCAGAGTCACATCTTCAATTTTTACGGGCTCAAAATAAAAGCAGAAATAAAATAAACACCAGTAAAACCTGCTTTCTCCTTTGGCTCCGTTGCTTAAATCACTGCCAGAACCTGTGAATGGCAACTGCCATTTCCATTTCTTCCCGGCTTTACACTAAGAACTACTACAAGAATTTCTGGTAAAGTCAAATTACTAGACGAGCTCTCTGTACGCAGAGGTTTTGCAAAATCCCCAGGGAGAGCAAGGGGAGCTTTGGGCGCTGAGCTCATTTGCAAAACTGTTTCTTAGAGCAAGAAGCAGGAATGTCCCTTCTTGGGATTTATATCCAGGCCAGCTTTTGACTCGATACGTCAAATCTCTAATCTCTGCCTTCAGGGGATTTGCAGGGCCCCGGCCGGCTGTGACGTGACACGCGCTGGCTCTGGCTCCAGAAGAAATAAGAGGCTCAAACACGTTGGTCCTGAGCGATACTGGCACCCAGCTCCTCAGGCAAATCCCGCTGCTTGTGTTTAAAGGAGGGATAACGATGGTGGGAAATTCAGGTGGGAGCAGTTAAGGGGTCAGAAACCCGGCACGTAACCAAAGGTGCCAGGAGCGCGCTCTTTTGGGGAAGAGGAGGAGGAGGAGGAAGGGCTGCAGCGGCAGGGCTCCCAGTTCACCCGATGGAAACACAAGCCTGGCTGCGTAGCGCAGTGTAACGCAGGATCTAATGACTGGGATTTGAAGCTAAAACTCCACTAAATGAGAAGTTAAACCTTTTTGATTAGGAAGAATAATTAATGATTACAACAACTTCCTGAAGACGTGGTGGATTTGCTACCGCTAGAAGCATTCGTGTATTTGATATTTCTCGAGACAACGCTCTCAACTTCCCGTCCTTGCCACCCACGCCCATATCAAATCCCCTTTTCACACTTCGGGACTGAGGAGAGCCCTTCCATGCCCAGCAGTCCCAAACCCCATCCCTCCGCAGCAGCATCCCTTACCACGCGTCTCTTCCACCCAAACCCACTCACCGGTTTGCTTCCCGCCAAGGCACCGCCGGGCTGGCTGGGTCCACATGTTTTTCCTTGTCCACAAGCCGGGGTTAGCTTGGGCAATCGCCACTCTCGTCCCTCAGAGGCAGGATAGCATGAGATCCTCCGTGGGTACCCCCAAGGCAGTCGCGTCCTCGGGATGTACTCGCCGGGGTGGTGCTGGGGCACGGGGTCCACGTGCGTCATCATCAGCTCTTCCTCTGCTGGCCCTGGTGCCGGCGGGGGAGGTTTTGGCCCAAGAACTCGTTCAGGAAAGCTTGTTGCAGCCCCAGCTTTCTCATAGGGAAAGTACCCTGTGGGACAGACACGGAGTTAAGGGAAAGGAGTGGCCGAACGAGGACAAGGGATTCCCATCGCAGCGGACCTCAGCCCCCACGCGCCCCTCTGTAGCAAAGGGAAGGAGCCCGGAGGTCACCAGCATCCCACGGGCTGCGAACGTACCCTGCGAGTGCCATCAGCCCCATCCAATAAACCGGCCTGCATGGAAAAACTGCACAAATAGAAGTTCAGTGACTTAAAATTCATTCTAAGTGATGCCTAAACTCTAAAATACCATCAGCCAAGCCATAAAGAAGTCAGGGAAAAAAAAAAAAACTAAACAAACCATATTCTTTTCTCCAGATGGCTGCGTCAGCACACCCCAAACACAGACCCCCCTGAGGACTCGTGCACTGGCATCACTGCTGCTCGTCGAGGAAGGGGTCTGCTGTGACGCTGGCTGGAAAAAAAATTATCTTACATCCAGCATATGCTAAATATCTGCACTGTGAACTCGGGACAGAGCCCTGCCGCCTGAGGCTCTGCAGGGACAGCCGAGCTTGGCAACTTTTGTCTGCCTTTCCCTTAAAACTGTCCCATGATGTGGCTCCCCAGGCCACCCCGGCCCTGTACGATGCCTCTGGCCCAGCTGCTCCCTCCTGCTCCGGGCCAGGAGTGAAGCTGATTTCTCTCTCCTCGGTGGTTAAGGTGGATGATTGCTCTTACGCCCCGCAACAACTTTTTCCTTGTTGGAAAACTGTTACTATGTCAGTCTTGTCTTTTTTAAACAAACCAAATTCCTTCCATTTTTGTTCTCATAGGTCATTTTTTTTTCAGCCCTCTGGTCATCGCTGCCTTCCCCTGACCTCCTCATGTTCGGTGGACATCTGCATGGCAGCGCAAAGCCCCAAGGAGGAGACGGCGTCTTCCAGCGAAGGCTTCGTCTGCAGAGAGTCCCGGGGAACACTAACCTGTCCCGGCTCAACCGGCGCAGAGCAAAACCTGCCCCTTTCTGCAAGAGTATAAAACTTCTGATGGGCATTTAGGTTTACAACCTGCTTATCATTGTATTATAAAGTATATATATTGTATATAACTTTGTAAAGCGTATATACCTGATATAACTGAATTATCAAGGGTGGTCCAGGCTAGCAACAAAATAAAGGCAAATCCTTGATAAAAGTGATTTTTCAATCCAGTGTGCAAATTTGAAAGCAGGTTCATTACTATTTCCTTCATTATTAATGAAAATATTGCATCTACTCTTTTCTTTTTATCCCACAAACCAAAGGAAAAGGAAAAACGAGTTGTTTTGTACTTGAGAAATCGATATTAGCTCTTTTTTATGACCCTGGGTTTTCCAAACTTATTGATTGAGAAAGGTTGCACGGTAAGGCACTAAATTAAAAGCCAGGAGAGCCCCGCGCATTTGATTTGAGTAAACAGCCATATGTTTTCAGTCCAGGCTCCCAGGGAGTGGGTGCCCGCACGCTTGGCCTGCACCACAACCCCTCAATGCCAACGCGGCCACCCTGGAGATCCAGCATAACCCTGGCTGATATCCCCAACCTGAGCCTGACCTCACCTCCAGCAAGAAAACAACATGGGATTCAACAGCTAGAAACCAGCAACGTACTTGGTGCCGGTCACAAGGCCTTATCAAAAATAAACCTTGAGAAAAAGTCTTCAGATTGATTTTGCTAAAGGCAACCCCACAGATCAAAGAGCTCACGGCAGTGTTGGATCTCCACCACGTAAAATACCCAGGAGGATGCCAGGCAGCACTACTAAAGTTTGCAGTGAAGGGTTTTAGGGGTTGCTCACTGACAGCTCGACCACAGGAGCTGTTGATGAAGAGTTGCCAGCACGGCAAGGTGCTCCCTGTGGCCACGTTCCACAGCATTTCACCAACGAGCAGCGAACGTGAGCTCCCAGCTGCACACGTTGGCAGGTGACGGAAAGGTTGGCGAGGAGAGGACAAGAATGAGGACAGGGTAATGAGAGAGAGCAACTAGGTCAACTGGTTGGTTGGGTCCATCCAAACTACATTTTAGTCCAAGGAAATGCAAATTTAAATGTCCAGGAATGAAGGCTGTAAATACCAGCTGCGTAGTGGAGACCTGGATCCTGGAAAACACGGCTAGGAAGAACAGAAATGCCAAGTTTGCAAGAAGCTACACGGCACAAATTCCCAGTGAGGAATGGGAAAGCATCGCTTTGGTGTGGCAATCCCCAGGGAAATGAAGGCCCAGATCCCCCCCGGGCACGTTACCCCCACGTTCAGCTGGGAGAGGACTCGCTCCCGCTGAACAGGGTGCCCGCAACAGCTACGGCTTAGGTGCATGATATGATACATGGCAAACGCGTCGCCAAAGGATGGCACGTCCCCGAGAGGGGCTGATCGGGATCACGGTGCGGCTGCTGCTGTGGCCCAATTCGGGTCTGCTCAACAGGGACTGGGCGCTTTGCTCAGAAGGGCTGGGACTTGGTAGGAGATTCCTGCAAATTCCCAGCGTTGGGAATCTACGTGAGCGTGTCTCAATGTCTGATGGAGGAGATGGGGCCTGGTAGCAGAAGGTGGGAAGGGAAGGGCACACGAGCCCTTCTGCTGAGCTGAGGTGGGAGCAGCAAGATGCAAAATGAACCACAGGCTGCGAGGAGGAGCTCTGAGCAGAACGGGCGCTGCAGGGTCGGAGGCGGCAGAGCCAGCCTTCCCCAGCGAGACAGGTTTTAGCCCGTGGAATTGTGCTGGGTTTGGCTGGGGTAGAGTTCGTTTTCTCCACAGGAGCCAGTATGGGGCTGTGGTTTGGATTTGTGCTGGAAACGGGGTCGATAACCCAGGGATGGCTTCGTCACCGCTGAGCAGCGCTTACACGGGGTCAAGGCCTTCTCTGCCTCCCACGCCACCCCACCCCACCAGCGAGCAGGCTGGGGGGCACAAGGAGCTGGGAGGGGACACGGCCGGGACAGCTGACCCCAGCTGACCACAGCGATGTCCCACACCAAATGATGTCACGCTCAGCAATAAAACTGGGGAGGGGTTGGCGGGGGGCCGCTGCTCGGGGACGGGCTGGGCATGGGTCAGATGGTGGTGAGCAACTGCTTTCCTTTGCATCGCTTGGTTTTCTTGGGTTTTATTTCTCTCTTTTTGTTATTTTCCTTTTCATTACAATTTATTATTATTAATTTATTTTATTTCAATTATTAAACTGTTTTTATCTCAACCCACGAGTTTTCTCACTTTTACCCTCCCGATTCTCTCCCCCATCCTACTGCGGGGGAGTGAGCGAGCGGCTGCGTGGTGCTTCGCTGCCGGCTGGAGTTAAACCACAACAGGAATATGGAAGAATTAGGGAGTGAGTTCATAATATGCCGTAAAATCATTTATCTTCATCTAACTGAAGATAACCTGGGAACTAAAATTCTCCTCTCCACTCCACCAGACGTCAGTGTGAGAAGCCCTGTGCTCATCAGCTGAGGCTGTGCTCCAGCTCCGCAGCGGGGAGGCTCTCCGGGTGTCCGTGCACCTACCCCAGAGCTACGACTGCTCCATGGAAAATATCCCATTTCACCCCTGGAACCTATTGAGGACAGGGAAAGCCCCCGCTGCTTGTGATTGACCCCGTGTTCGTTAGCAGAGCCCGTTCTGGCGAAGGGATGAGCCCCAGGGTCTGCTCACCTGGACGCCCAGGGAGATAACCCTGGACACCGTGCTTCGTCCCACTGAAGTCCTCGACAAACTTCGGCTTGCGCAGCGGTGCCAGCAAGGGGCGAGGGCTCTTCGTGACACCCGGATCCGTCAGCAGGCGGTGAACGGTTTTGCCAAAGGTTTCTCCGCACTGATAGTTGTACTGAGGGATGAAGCCCTCGTAGCTGAGGAGGAAACAAAAAAGAGCAGTCACTGAGATGGCGTTGGAAGGCGCCCACAGGTAGGACAACCTGCGTTAGAGCTTTTGTACACGGGAAAGGCCACGGCCAGGAGGACACGCGGCTGGGAGTACGCGAGCCCAGGGAAGGTGATTGCACAGGGATGTGCCCGCGAGCGTGACTGCGCTTACGCCGCTGGAGCAGCGGCACGAGGGGAGCACCGAGGAGACGCGTGCGGTTACGCAGGAAGCCGGGGGGGTCTGTCTGGGGGTGTTTGCACATGCGTGTTTTCACATGTCAGCATGAAAACCGGCTCATAGGCTTACAGGCGTGTATAGGCACAGGCCTGCGCTCTGGTTCATGGAGGACAAGGTCAGGGAGCGTGGCCGAAGCAGCACCTGCGGATGGGAAAATTTACAACAGGAGCGCAGCGTGGGCGGCACTCGCTCTGACAGCGCCGACATCGATGGCCCCCTTTCCCCCCGTTAAAATATTATTTCCAGTTAAACACGCCTCAGTTTTAAAATTTGCAATCTCTCTCTCTGTTCTAAAACACAGCAAGTTACTGGGAATTTCCCAGTGTCCCGTGTTCAATATTGAAACTCAAAAATCAGAAAAATTGCCTGTACCCTCCAAACCTCTCTGCTCCGTACCCTCGTGGCGAGGAGCGGGACCGGGCTCCCAAACCCACCCAGGCACTGCAGGGCCTGGGAGAGGCGCGGGCAGGCAGGCAGCTGCTCAGCCCCAGAACCGAACCACTCAATTTTTGGGGGACCTTCGTGCGGGGTGCGCGGCGACACGCCGCTTCTCTGCTCCCCAGGGCCTGGGACGCGCAGCTTGACGTTTTGGTGGCTCAGGGTAGGGCAGGTGCTGGAGCTCTGGCTCCGCTCCCAAGTCCACCAGTGTCGATCAGAAACTTCAGCTACTCCCAGTATCGAATTTCCTAATGGTGATGTTATTCCACCACAGAAGAAGAAAGGTAGAGCTGCCAGTTACAATGTACAGACAGAAATATTCAATCGATGAGCCCACTGCGTGTCTGGGGATACAGCCGGATGATGCACGAGGATCATAAGATGATGAGTAAGTACTTTCCCTTCCAAATACTTTAAACAGCAGCGAGCAGAGCCGTGCATTTACACTTGGCAAGTTTTCCCACTTTGCATGCAGGATCTCTCACCAGCAGCTGCCGGAGGAGCTCGGTGGCTCATCCCCATTGATTTTCAATGAGTCTTGCAACACGGGGAAGCTACGCTGGGACGATAAAGCCGAGCAAGAGCACAAATGACATAGCCTGAATAATTACAGGATGGCCAGAGGGATGTTGATCATGAACAAAATAATGGTAGGGCTGAGAAAGGATTCAATTCATAAGCAATTAAAAGCAAGGTAATCCAAGGAGCTCGGGCGAGTCAGTCTGGGTTTATGGCAAAGGGATCTGCTGCAGAGTGAATTACAAGTGCTGCTGATAAAAGCCGTGGCTCTTGGGGAAGAGACCGGTCTCAGCAAGGCTGTTTGACCTTCTCCTGCTTGGTATTTTGATTAAGAAACCAGAGCGAGCCCCCGTTTCTGTAGTTCAAGCCGAGCCACTGCAGCCCCTGATCTCAAACCCCGTCGGCGAGCAGCGAGTAACCTGCTTTCCCAAGACTGAGCCCCATTTCACTTTTCTCTTACTCAGCCCTATCTCTTCAATCGCCACTCCCCAGGCTGCGTCACCTAAACCCGCTCAGCCTTCCCGATTGCCAGGGAAAAGCCTTGGCCCTGGGCCCGTCCTCGCTCGGCTCCGTGCCCTTCCCAGCTCCACCAAGCCAAGGGGTGGGCAGGGCTGTGCCCGGTGCCCGGGATTCATGGATTTACCCCTTTCTGCACACCAAGTCCTTCCCAAACCATCCCACATGTTGGCTTTGGCTTCCCAATGCCCTTGAGCACTGCGATGGCATTTTCAAAGCCCTGGCTGCGACCATTGCCCGACCTGAGCGACAGCAACCTATTTCGATGCCCTCGTTGTGTTTGTGAATTCACCAGCACGGCCAGGTATGGAGCATGGGACAACGGGCGAGATGCTGCGACACAGCATCATCTTCCTCCTCCTCCTCCCAGCACCCCGGCACAGGGCGCATCATCTGCCAGCAGCAGAGCCCGGGCTCCGGGGATGCCCTTAAGGCAGCTCCTCCCCGCGCTCAGCCATCCAAAGCAGATGCAAAGCAGCACCCGCAGCCACCCCCGGGGGCTTCCTCTGGGGCTTGGGGTGACGCTGCAAGCCTGCACCGCGCTGCCGAAAGCAGCGGCAGAATTTGGTTCCTCCTCCTCCTGCCTTCAGTGGCTGCAGCAGAAGCCCGGAGAGGAGCAGCCCCAGCTGCTGTCTCGGTATTAGGGCTCGAAGCTGCTTCTGGGGCGGCTGTCTGCAGGCAGGAGTGAGCATGGGAAGGTTTTGAGGCTTTTGTTAGTGCAAGCCCAGCCACAGCTCCCTCCTTGCTATTCCTCGTCTTTCCCAAGCCGCTGTCAGCACGCAGCTTCGACAGGGTGACAGCACGCACGGAGTAACACATCACATCGTTCAGACAACTGCAGCAACGCAAAAACACGTTACGAACCCCCAGCCCCAGAGCTTATGTGAGTTTGGAAGATACGGAGATCAGCAATGGAAAAATCCTGCCTGTTGCCGTAATGGGAAGGACGGATGTGATCGACACCGCAGGAGCATCGTTAAGGAAGGAAACGTGCCCCACCCTTTATCTGCAGCTTGGGATCTGCCTCCTCCTGCCCGTACCCGTGCTGCACCCGCCGCCGTGCGCGGTTTTCTCTGCGCTGAGGTTTGCGGCCTGGGCTGTCCCCAGCCCCTCCGCCCCGGGAGGTCGGCCTGCCGCCCTTCCGACTCACCCTCAGGCTGCGCTAATCCCAGTTGCTTTGTACCAACAGGAGCTTGCTCTCCCTCGGTGCCCGTCCAGCCCTTCCCAGCCCATTGACGAGTGTCACGGACCACGGGTCATCGGGGGACCCCACGCACAACTTCTCCACTTCACCATGAAGCCTATCCACTTACTTCTGCCATTCGTGTCTCACCTTTTAACCAAGAACTCATTACCTCTTACCCATGACAGCTTGGTTTCTTTTCTCCAAGCCTTTAGAGGACGATGTCGCAAAAAGCTTTGAAGAAACTCTAACTCCGTATCAACTAGATCACCAGCACCCACAGAGCCACCCGCTTCTTCAAAGACCTCGGATCCGGCAGCAGCTCCAACCAATTTGGCAAGAGCGTATCATGTCTATGCAACTCTTTTATTCAAAGGAGATCTTCAAACATCCTTGATGCAAAAGTTATGGCAGTTTGGAAGCCAAACCCTGCACAGCAGCTCTGGCAGCTTAAAATAAATGGAAAAAAGGGGAAAAAGAAGAACAATTTTGACTTTATCCTCAATGCGCTATGGCGTGGTCTTTAATTATACCCTGTTATAAGGTGGTGCTTCTTATCCTGGAGCCCTGTCTCCTTCGGATCATGGAATATTTAATAGTGTCTTTAAAAAAACCCAAAATATCATGAATCATAAATACTACGTGATCCCAAGCGGAGCTATTTGCATTGGAAATGAACAGACATTTTTGGATGAACTTCAGAACTCACCCAGGGAGATAGTAGGGACTGGGAGGGAAAAGGCTATTTTCCTTCGGGGCTGCCATGGCAATGCGGCAGCTCTCGGCGGCGGGCGTGGGAGGAAGGAGATGCGGCACGATGCGGTCACCCAGGAAACCTCTATGATGCTGCTGGGAGCGATGTCGGTACCCGACAGCGCTTCCAGCTGCAGCACACAGCTTGTCAGGTTTTTCTGGACCCGTCTTTTTCCCCCCCACCTGGACATTTTGGATGAGCACGGAGATTTTATAGCATTTGTCAGATTTCCTGAAGGCTCGTAGCCCTTGGGACAGCAGCGCCAGATGTTTCCCATAAGCAGCCCCAGCACAAATATGTGTTCACAGCACGGTTCACGTCCAACACACAACTCGGGGAGCCTGGCCGTGCGTGCCGCAGTGACTGGTACAGCACGTGCACGGCCGGGCCGGCGCTGCCTGCGCTCACACGGCCACGCGCACGCCCTTCTGCCGAGGAAACCCCAGGACAGCGGCTCAGGGATTCACCACGCTGTGGTGGAAGGCTCAACCCTCCTCCCCCTGCTCCTCATTGCCCTCCCCGTCTGGCTGTTTGAGGACGCAATCCTTTGCTGCCTTGCTTCATGCGGGATAAAGGTTGTTCCCATTCCCAACATCGCATGGTCACGTCGCCTTGTGTGCGGTGGGTTTCACCCCCCTCCAGCTGAAGGCAGGCCCAGGACACAGATCTCTGTTTTATCGAGCAGCCACTCTGGCCCCTATGTCCTCAAGTCAAAGACCACTACGCCTGTTAGCACCAGCATCATTTCCACCAACTACAATACCAGCAGCAAGCCTGCTTTGCTGCCAAAGTCCCTCTATGGCCTTGAAGAGCTCAGCCACACGGCTGGCAGAATCATTTTAAGGTTTCAAAGCTACTAACCAGAAATCAGAGAGTATTTGAGGGTTGTCCTCATCTGTTTAGGTGCGCATACTCCACCCAAAATTGTATCTGAGGAGATAAAAATGCTGCTTTGACTCTTGCCCTTGGTGCCTAAACACTTTGGGAGATCTGGAAGTCCCAGCCTTTATAAATGTATTTGAGTTTGCCCAAATACCTGAGCTCTAACCAGGGGCAGACCTCTCCAGCAGCCCCAGGCCTGCAGGGCGGACGGGGCCGAGAGGTCCACGACGGCTCCTCTCAGAGGTGCGCAGTGGGAGACCAAGAGGTAGCAGGCACAAGATGCAACACGGGGAAGGCCCACTGGACGCAAGGAGAAAATCCTCCCCCACGGGAGAGGCGCAGCCCTGGCCCACGGTGGCATCTCCATTCTTGGACATCTTCAAAGCTCAGCTGGGGAACACCGAGCGCACCCCAACGCAGCTCTGAAGTTAGCTCAGCTTTTAGCAGACAATTGGATTAGAGACCTCCAAAGGTCCCTCCCAGCCTAGGTCTTCCTCTGAGTTTAATATGAACATGGAAAAAAATTGCTTACTGAAACGCAGCACCATATTCATGGCACCGAACAACGATCCCAGGCTGTCCCAGGTCCCATCATCCTCCTCGGCTCCTGAGGAGGCTCCGGCCAGCAGCTTCCCAGCATCTTCAGAAACTCCCTTCAAAGCTCACTCCTTTAAATGGCCAGGGGCTGCTCCTTCCAAACCTGCGGGTCACAGGCTTACCAAAGAGCTACTGAATAATCGGACCAAAATATCGGTCCTCAGTGCAGACACCTGGGTAAAAAAGTAGAAATTCACTTTTGTCAAGGTTATCATTAGAATTTATTGATATGAGAGAAACTTCGTATGTCAACACGTCAACGGAAGAACAGCACGTCCTGACGAAACAGAAGTACAAAGCCCATCCGGGTGACGTTACAGCGCTCTGGTATCTCTGAACTCTCAAGTACAGGAGGTCACGCGCACAGCTGTGTATTGCTTGGGTACATTTTCTGGGACAGGATAGAAATACTCCAGAAATACAATCGACGCGTGGTTTGCCAGCCACCAGTGCCCGAGGGGCTGCAGCAGGGACCGCGCTGGCTTCGACTCCCATCGCCCAGCTCCAGACGGTGCACACGTGTAACGGCAGCTCACCCCGGGCCCCTCTAGTCAAAGGAGAAAAATAAAAAAAAAAAAAAAAAAAGAAAAAACCTATTTGGGGGTGAGATTCCCCTGAGCCCGTGTAGCCCTCGCAGGGAGATGAGATGACTTGTACGCTCTGGCTCCTTGTCACGTAAAGGGGGCTCAGAGGACCAGCTCGGACGGAGACGCCTAACGCAGCCAGGGGAAGCCCACGCCAGGTCTGCAGCAGGACAACCTGGGCACGGTCCTATCGAGTGAGCTGCAACTGGGAAACTTCACGACGGAGTTTGCTCTGCCCGGGGAGCAGATACGGCCACGCCACGCTCCGTCCTGGCGTCTGCCAAGTCAGAAGCAGGTTTTTTTTCTCTCAACGTAACAGTCTTACTTATCCTCGTATTAGAACTGTTTTGACATTCTCTCTCTCAGCAGTGCCCTCTTACAGAGCTCATAGCACAGACAGCCGTTCACACTATGCTTGTGGCTAAGATAAAAATTATAATCTTTACTGGAAACATATACTATGCTGGATGCTGTTTAAAAAAAGCCAAGTGCTGAGCTTTCATCTTCTCCCAGCTTATGAAATATTTGGTTTGGTCCTAAGTATCTTGCTAAACGATTAGAGAGGGAACAACAGAGTATTCCCCAGGCACCTGGTAAATCCACAATGGATTTATTGTAGAAACGAGCTGAATTCTCTAACTCACTCCAAATGGATTTCAGAGCCCTCTAAAACCCTCCAGAGAATGAGCCGTTTGTGACACGACAAACAAAAACCAACCCCAAGTTCAATGAGTAATTTGTCTTACATCGTGCAGGGAGCACCCAAAATAAAACACAAGCCCAAACTAAGGGGATATGTCTGTCGCATCTCCCGATGCCAGATTTAATGACAGCAATTAAGGAGCCTGGGCCAAAGTGCATCTGCCTGGCCGATAGCACTAACCCTGCTGCAGACCTGAAGAGGAACCGCTGATGCGAGGAATGCTTATCTGAGCGCGTGTGCGCACGCCTGCGCCAGGGGACGACCCGTACTCTGCTCCTTTTCCTCTCGCGCGAGCCGTGACAAGTGACATAGCGGGTTCTGCTCTCAGCCATTCGGTTTCACCAAATCTAAGTTCCCTCTGCACACGTAACAGCATTGACTTCGAGATCTCATATTAATGGGTACTTATACAGGATTAATTGCACATCAGTCCATTGTGGCTACAAGTTCATTAGGCTAATAAATCTACATAGTGACAGTAGTACAGTATCAGCTACTTTTCAATACAAACTCCCTACCCTAGCCTTAATTTGTAGGTCAAAAGAAGATCTTCTACCGTAGTGACCTTCCTATGACCTTTAACATTCATTTTCAAAATTTTTTTTTTCTAGAAAAAAAATCCAGTGTGGGGAAAATGCACATATATAACAAAAGCAGTGCTTAACAACCACAGGAAAAAAAGAACATGATCTTGGACTCTTGTATCAGCATCCTCCGTAGACCCTGGCAGCATTACTTCCAAAGGGTTGCTAAATCCAGCTCCGTCAGTTCTCAAGTCCGTTAAACCATTCCCTAGCTCTAGACATTTCTAGTCCCTCGCTATACATATTGTCTGTAGCAAGAGCATACAGAAACACTTGCTAATGTGCACAAGACTTCCATTTGATTTAATGGAATAGTTTTCTAAAACTGAAGTCTCTACTTCTAGAAATCTGTTCTTGAGTGGTAGCGCTCTCACCGACCGGTAGCTTTCTATTCCACCCAGGAGAGAGCTCCAAGTCCCTCATAAAGTTTTACTCATTCGTTTTGCCCAAAGGTGTACGGGTGTCAAATAAAACCCCTCTCACAGTATTCCCAGGAAATGATTCAGAAGAGGAGATGATTTTTCAACCAAATGAGATCCTCTGGTCCTGTGTGTCCGACCATGGCCAATAGAATGAGCAGCTGCCATGGACATCTCAACTTAAATACGGAACAGTCAAGGGAGGAGAGCAAGGTGGCCTGACCATCTTCCCGTGAGGTACAGGCAAGGAGACACCAAAGTCACTCTGTTCTCAACAGTTTGTCTCTTTTTCTGGAGTCAAATGTTTGATTCCATTTGTTCTAGCAGGAAGTGGTGAATCATGTCAAAAGTGGGACGATCTTTGATATCCCTGCTCCAACATTTCAGCATCAGGTCAAACACAGGGTTAGGACACAGAGGAGTCTGGGAGAGATAGATCTGAAAGGAAGAAAAAACACAGCTCTTTCAGCAGGCTTTTCATAAAAGAATTGAACCTCTACTAAATTAAAACCAAAAGGACAGTTTCATTCTAGGTTTACAAGACACGGCCATCATGCAATGTTTGAAATCCATTATGCGTGAATCTGGCAGTGAAGTCTGGATGGAGCTCGGACGCCATCTCAGATGGCATTGTGGACACTTTGCCAACTTGTTTGATGAGCTGGTCACAAAACAGTCCTTTGTCCCCCAGGAAACATGAATGCTTCAGAGAGATTGGTCTTCCCAGCGACAGCAAAACACAGACCAAAACCAAATTTACCACAATAAAATCCAAATACTTTCACTCACCGTAGACAACCCATGAGGCTTTCTAAGCATCGTGACAGCTTGTTAGCAGAGACAGAAAAAACACCTTTTAGAGCTTATCTAAAGCACAGCTTGGCAGAATTTTCTTCTTCCCCTCTCATTTCAATACACATCTTTTAGGCTCTTCGCTAAATCATTAGTACGCAGGAGACGGTGAATAAAACCTCCCATTATTTTATTCCCCTTAATCCCTTAACTTGTTCGGTGCTAAAGGTGAATTTTGGGAGAACAGCAAACAACTGGCACTCCACTTTTTAGGGTACAGCGATCCTCAGTACTGAGGTGCTGGATTGTCCTGCTCTATTTAGCATCATCACTGGTATCTACTGAAGGTAGCAGCAGGGGAGAGGACAGTCCTGCCTGGCAGTTAGTAAGAGGACAACGACACAGAAAAGCCCTTCAGCAACTAGAGATCGCCAAAGGCTTCTCGGCGTGTCTGGAGATATGGGGAGTATCTAATCCCTGGGCACTAACGACTCCTCCTTCCCCACCTCAGCAAGTGCTTCCTTGTCTTTCAGAGAAAACACTAATGGGAGAGAGATCTGATAAAGGAAAAGAGCAAAAGGATGGTGTAGGAGAGCCCAGAAAAGCTAAGAAGGACAGTGCACCATGGGCAGATTGAAATAGAAGTGGCTTATAAGGAAGAAGCCCCAGACAGGGCCAAGAGATTCCTCCAGTGGGACTCCAAGAGAGGAAAGCCAGTGCAGTGAGCCTGGAGGAAGGGGAAGAGAGGCGGAACACGCTTGAAAAGATGAGTAATAGAAGCAGAGACTTCTGCAGATGACGTAAGGACAGCAGAAAGGCCCTGGGGAGATCCGCTTGGATGTGGCCAGGTCAAGGGAAGGAAGGAGAGGTCACGTTTGCTTTCTTACCTGCCTGCCCTGGCTCCGGAAGAATTCTCCCGTGTTCTCGATGACTTGCTCATCTGAGAGGAGGCTGTACGGTTGCTCCTTACACAGTATGAACATCTCCCAGAGGGTGACCCCAAATGCCCAGACATCACTGGCTGTGGTGAACTTGCCCTGCGAACAGAAAGGATGTTGTAAGCCCAGGTTGCTCACGGTGCACATTCAGCAAAAACCATTTCAGTCTACACTCCATGCAGCTAAACATGAGGATGCAGAATTCGTACCAGGTAAAATGCTCTCAAAAAGAGCCAGCAGAGCAGGTAACCTGCTCTCAGCAATGCATGAAGGGACCGAGGTATGACATTGCTGCTTTGTGGGGCAGGAGCAGCATGTCTGTGGGACCCCGGGACAGCTTTCACTTGGGGCAAACCTCTTGAAACAGGGAGCAAGTCTCAGAGAAAGCCAGAGCCGGCTGTCCCTCCTGAGAAAGTCTGTGTTTGTCTGCAGCAGTAGGAAAATGGATTGTGGCAGGGAGTGGAGAGCTGCTGCCTACCTCCACCCAAAACCCAGCAGCGCAACACAGAAACGCCTTTGAACAGGAAGCAAAGCCCTTGGGGTGAAAGCAGAGGCAAAGCAGACTCCAGACTCTTAAAGAAAGGCCAAGATAATTTGATCTTTGCACATGTAAGAAGTCGGATACAGTCTGCTTGCTGTCCCTGTTTTCTGTCTTTGAAAAATGTGCCCAAACTGGCCGTGTTTGGAACAATGTTTCTGAAGAAGTAAAAAGAAGCTAAAGATTGCTCAGAAATAACAGACAACAGTCAGGGGCTGGAGGGCCTGTTTGGGCAGAAAACATCCAAGACCCACATTGCCCAGATTATCTGGCAACTCTAGCAGTCTGTCAATGTTTGGAAGATGTTCACACAAGGAAGATGGGAGCGACTTATGGTTTAGATGCAGCTCTAACCAGGAAAATAGGGCGAATTTAGAAAAGCTTAGGCCTATCAGCCTTTATAGCAAAGGTAATTACAATTTTTCTGAGTACTTGGAGGGGGTGTTGTAAGAAAGTATAGCTAGGTGATCTCACCAACTAGTCTGAGAAAGAAATATGGGGCTGAATATTAAGGAACTGCCTCCAGACTGGGCGTGTTTGGGCTGTTGAACAATCTCCTAAGGGGACACAGCAGGACCCTTAAAACACGAAACAAAATCCCAACCTCAAAACCAGACTTGGCATTTGAAACTCATGAAGTTCTCTCCCGGTCCCTCTCAGCTTCACAGCTGGGACAATAAGCCCAGGAAGGCAATTTCCTTATGATTCTTATGATT